TATCCAATTACCTTTGAAGAAACACTGGTAACATGGAGTCAACTCTGAAATTGCCTGGTGTGATTCAATGTGGCCCCCCTCGACATGTGTACAATTGACAGTGTGATTTGTGACTGGGCTCCCGGCAGAGATCCCCTCCCACAGGATGCTGCTGCCTCAGAAATCCTGGGCTGCGCGCCAGGCGAGGGAGGTGATCGCTGTACAGTGTTGTGGGATGTGGAAATCCTCTTAAAAGCAAAGTGATCGTTATGAAATTATTATGTTAGAGATTGTAAACTGCAGTGTCGGTGCATATAGTCTTAAATGGGGTGATGATAGTTTAGACTGTTCGAGGCACATATGGCTATTTGTCTTAACACTTAATTTAAGATGTTTAACTATAAGAGCATTTGGAAGCACGGATGTTTATTTGGTCATACAGTAATTTAATAACACGTTTTTATCTACAGAAACAGACACAGATACAATATTATAATATGCCTGTTTAAGAATGCATTGTTTTTTTGTGAGCTTTTTTAGGGGGGTTTATTTTTCCTGTAGTGTGTAATATAGTTTTGTGTGCATGTGAATGGTCTGGAAAGGCTAAAATCCAAATGGTCCCTCCAGAGGGAGTTTCTCTCCCACACACTGCCCTGAAACACCTAGTGACATCACTATGTAACACTTGCATATTAGACTCTTTAGAATGACACAATTAAATAACATATAATAATTCACCAGCACATCTTGCACATGTCTCTTGGTTACCGTTCCACTGGGCCTCAACTCCTGTCTTCTTAGTTAATAAATACAGAATATGCTTTGCTGTGAAGTTGACACGCAGCGGGCAAAACGTACTCAAAAATGCACTTTTTTTCCCGTCTTTGTCAAAGTCACAGCTGCCATGCAGAATATTCATCAGTTTCCCTTCGAAATCTGACGCCCCTTTTGATGTGCCTGAGGCTTACACTGATTTGCTGTGAAGACGCTCCTCTCATTAGAAATTCCTTAAACTCACAGCTTCGAATCGCATTAGCGGAGCACGGCAGAATCCCTGGTGATGCAACCACACACAGTTACTGTACAAGTTCACCTACTGTGCGCAGGGGAAGAGGGATTTATCACTAAACGCCCTTAGGAAACAACCGGGGAAGTGTGCTCGGGAAGATGTTTTGATCTCGTCTCGTCTGTTTACCCTCTCAAGGTCAGGAGAGCCAGACATGCATATTGATGATGGAGATGATAGGCCGTCCCGTTCACTGGATCTGCCCCAGAGCTCGTGGTAATCAATGCGGGGAGGAAAACAAATGAACTAGACTAAATGTGTCGCGATTGAAGGCGATCAAACAGACAAACACTCAATCAAACAATTGACCTCCCTCAGCAAACTATAGAGGGTCGTTCAAGGAAATACACAGGCAGTATTTGCAGGTTTTTCTTGTTTTCGGTCAGACAACAATGTACCTATAAATGTTCCAGCTTGCCAAGTCAATAATGCATGGAGCCGGGTGAATAATTGATCACATGCTTCATATTTTTTCACTTATTCTCTGTGTTCAATCATTGAGGGGGAGATGTGTTATCTTCTGGGGTACCTCAGGGCTCCTGCTTCCCTGCAGTGTCAACAACAAGCAGTCCAGAGTTTGGGATTAAATCCGACCTCCCGCTGCTGCAGACACCACAGACATGATCCCTGAACGAGAGCGGGTCAAATAGGGCCATGTGACATGGGACGTTGAAATGATACACGACATCCTTTACCCGCTGGTAATCTGTTTTAAAAAAAAGAGCATCATCCTCAAAATGTGTGCGAAATACAGATAGTGTCTTTGTTAGCCCCATGAGTTGGTGGAAAGCAGCATGGACAGCACACAGAACTCTGCAGAAGAGTGGCCAGGGTTAAAGAGGAAATATTATGCTAGTTTTCAGGTTTGTATTTTGTTCCTTTTGAATGTTAAACACTTCAAAAAGCTCTTTATTTTTCTCATACTGCCTGTGCTGCAGCACCTCTTTTCACCCTCTGTCTGAAACCAGATCCCAGTCTGCTCTGATTGGTTAGCTGGCCGGCTCTGTTGTGATTGGTCAGTTGCTCAGATATGTCCAACCCCTTCGACTATCATTTACAATGTGTGGGATCGCTAGCCGATAGAAATGTAAGTGTTACAAAGTGATTTAATTATGTTACAGGTGCAAACAAACAAGTCCAATATTGGCGTTTCAGGCAGGACGGGGGGGGGGGGGGGGGGGGGGGGACTTTGGAGTCTTTACGTTTGCAGTCCATTTACATGCACAAAAAACGATTTAGCACGCAAAGAGAAAACCCCCTAAAAGCATAAAAGGGCCTCCTTAAAGTTTAGGCTTTCAGCTTGTTACTGTTAGTTGTTTGTGTTTGTCCATGTGTTGTACAATGATTCCTCAACAAAGGCATGAATAAAGTATGTGTTTCTTTTGGGTGTGATTCTCAGTGGGAGAAGAAAGTGTGTTGTAGCGTTGCATTTTGAATTTAATGGGAACGTGAGGCAACAACTTCCAGGCTGCTGACAGGTTCTCACACATGTATGTTCACAGTCTTTTCACTTTTCCAAAGTCTTAATTAAAGGAAGCTACCTGTGAATAGTGCTTACGGAGGTGTTATATCAGTTCTTGTGGAACAGGTGCTTACAAGTCTCGCTGTTTTTCTATCAGTCACTTAAACAGCTGTGGCACTGCAGCAAAGTGCTTTATAGAGCTATATTTGTGTGTTATATGATGCATTTAAAGCTGCGTAGCTTTGCATCCAAATGTGTTACAGGAGAAGCATTTTGATCTACGTCAAATTCATATTTAAAGAGAGTCTGCGTGTTTTTGGTGAAATATACTGATAATTCAGCAAGTGACACTGTATGAATAATTAGTTGGCTCACAAATGCAAATCACAGTGAAGAGTGGAGAGATCATTGATCCGTAGTTCCAGTAGAACGGGCGACATCTATTTCCATCGCTGTCCTAATCAGACAGTTTATCATCACCTGCTGTGAGGCAGTTTAAGGATCAACATGCTTTTTTTGTTGTTGCAGTAAATCCGAAAAATAGCATGTAGGACAAACATTAGAAAATGACTGACTGTTGAAGTAAAAACTGCAATTTGTACAGTAAGCCAAGGCTATAGATGTCTGATATAATAAAATGCATGATCTTTAGCTATTTATATAACAAACTTGTAATGCCTCCTGCGGTCAAAAACCCATTGCCCTTTCAGGGTCAAACACCTGATGGAGAGTTTTTCTACCTTGCTTTGTTCAACTAATTTAGTTAGTTGAGTGTTTTTGACAGTTTCCTGTAAAGTAAGTAGTAAAGACTATAACTTAAAACCTTTTTGTGGATGTGCTTTTGATTCCGTTCACTGCTGGTGCCATGATTAATTCTACTGCTAACAAAATGTTGTCTTCACTGTTTGTGGATGCCTTTTACAACACCTTCAGTGATCCTGTTGCAAACACTGATGGTTAAATTGTTATATGAGACTCATCTCCCATTTCTTAGCTCTGTTGCTGTTCTGTGGTCAGCAGAGTAAACTGGACAGTTGCCAGGTGTAATTGTGTACATAAATATCCCCCTAATCCTGTCGCATCTGCGCTTTCTTAGATTCCAGGAAAATGGCTTTTGTTTTTCATTTGTTTCTTTTGTAAGTCAGTCAATGACTATACTGATAGACTTGAATAGGACATGATTACATTTCACTTTACCAAGGGATTTTATGAAAAAAAATGAAAAAATAGAATATGCATGTTAGCACAACATGTTTTTTGTCCAAGTTTATGGAGCATGTGGAACTTGCATGTACTGAGATGTTACATTTTCAAATATATGCAGACACCTCATGTCTTCTTTTACTTCATGGCTGTATGTGCTTTTGAAGCTGCATTTGGGATCAGTGTTGCAGTATGTTCTTCTCTGCAATGAGGAGGGGACTTCATTTATGAACTGTATTAATGAGCAATGCATCGCTGAAATCCAACAAAGCAACATTCATTGTGTGCTTTGTGATGTGTGTGGTGGCTGTCAATAATTACGTGCAGCTCTTGAAAATCACTTGGATTATGGCATGTATAAATCCATCAGATTGTGTGCTGGAATCTGCTTTTATCCTCCCTTTATCTCACAGCCAGGCTGATATAAAAAAAACCTCTTCAGAATACAACCATATGAACATTGTGCTTGGTATAATTGTAAGACATTTAGGATCCTTAAAGCCATAGTGTTCTTCTTTATTGATGTTAATGGCTTCTAAAATTGCCCCAGTGTATTGTAAAAGGGATATTTAAGCTTTTCGTGGCCGTGTGGTCTGCTTGACAAACTGTGCGCCATTAGCAGAAACCATGAGGGAGCTTTTAAAGAGTTATAACATTTTAGTAGGTCTGGTTGATGAAGTTCCACCGTTGTATTTAAAGCAGGTTGCGCTACCCTCCAGTGTCCAAAAAAACATTAACACTGCTTTAAATGGATTTAACTGCTGCACAATAAGTCATTTCCACTCAAACAACTGGAGCAATTCCCCCCCCCCCATAGATGGTGCACTGTGCTAAACCAACTACCTATGATGATTGACAAATGAACAGATAATAATGATCATGTCCACCACATAGTCCACTACAAGCCTTTAGCACAGATTCATTGCTTCTATTTCAGATTCTCCAAGGTTCTTACATTTCTCCAGAAGGAATGACCTCTATTCTTCGATCGCAAAGGTATAGTGGGTAGATCGCATGGCATTGAAAAAAAAAGAAGAAAAGAATATTAATATATTTTTTGAAGTTAGCAGTAACATCCATCCTTACTATGGCGTTTGCCACTTGATTGACGTGCAGGTAAGCCAGTCTGAGTTGTATTGTGCCATACGGGTTCATGCAGTTATGAAGGGGCCTCACCTCCTCATCTGAAGCGCAAATGCGGCGCACTATTATGCGCTTATGCGGCGCAATTAGTGTAAACGCCGTGAGAATGTTGACTGATATGAATACAGGACGGCATGTGGTCATATAACCCTTCAACGCCCTCCAGATTAGGAGGGCAGCATTACAGCATTCGTTCCTGCTGGCTGAAAATAGTTAAGTTTCGGTTTCCAACCATCAGAAATGATACCGAGCTGCAGTTGCTGTCTGGTTGGTTTGGTTCAGCTGGGAGCAGGACAACAGGAAGAGGGTGAACAATAATGGAGCGAGAGTCAGAAATATTAAAGTTTATCTGCGCTAATCAGGGATCAGTGGACACTGAGGAGCTGCGGTGTAACCTCGGCTCAGGCGACGCTACGGATGACATATTCAGTAACCGAGAGAAGTTCGCCTTGGTTTTTCCGTTCGACCAGCCGAAGGTGGTGGCGCGGACCCGGCTGAGGCTGTGCCACTTGAAGGGCTGTCCGGGCGCGTGCACTGGGCTGGACCTGTGTAAAAACTTCCTCCTTACCGGATCCTGTCGGTGGTAAACACAGTTCAACCAGGAGAGACAAGTTTTCTTTTGATGTAACAATAGCCTATATATTTATTGCCGGTGTTGTGTCAAATTATGCACCCCCGTCGTGAAATGCACCCCTTTACATGGGAACGCGCATTTGAACCATATACAGTCTATGATTTGAACGTATAGTCCGCTATTCTATGTTGTCTTTTTGATGGTTGGGTTGTCGAATCCTGGATTTTGCATTCATTCGTCACTTATTTTTCAGTTAATCTTTTATTTGTGTTATACACAGATGCATGTAATGCAGTGGTGAAACGTCAGGGCCTTCAAGGTATTCAGAGAATACCCAGGAACACTCAGATAAAACAAAAAATCTATTTAATTATATAAATAAAATGAAAATAATATGAATAAATGACAATCGTATCTGTGTTGTTGATCTGTAATATTACAGTGTTACGTTGATTTGTTTGTCTTTCTCGGTCCATGCACTGCGCATTTGAGTGGTTTTGTGTTAGAAATGAAATGCAACCAATCAATATTGTTCTGGGTCTCTGGGTAGAATATCCTTCAACCAAGGTATTCTCCTTGATAGAATGCCCTGGCCCGCCACTTAGAAGAAAGGAAGGTGGAAGGGGTGGAGGAGGGCTGCGTTGAGTCAGCTGAGATGACAACTGAGGAAGGGGAGAGAGCAGATTTAAAGGTTTAGCAATGCACTATGATAGGCTTCTGGGAATTGAGGCGAAGTGATTGATTTCCTAAATAACATTATTTCGATTCAACTAACAGAGAAAAGACCACAGGGTTGTTCAGGGTTATTATTAATGTGATGTGTTTGCATAATTGAATTACCTGTTTTTAAAGGCAGCACGTGGTGCGTTCAGGCACTCTTGACTTTTCTTTTTCTTCTTCCCTTTATTCCAGAATAGTCAATATCAATTTCAAACCTCTCTTCAGTGGCGGCTGGTGGAAAATATTTTAGGTGGGGCTGTGGAAATGGTGATCAAAGAATACTAGGGGGGTCCCCTAGTATTATCCTAATTTTTTTTTAGAAAAGACCCCTTAAATTATGACTTCTGGTGATGTTAGAGGGGGGGAAGGACAATTTGAGGCTTAAAAATATGAGAAGACTGATCAATACCTCCATAACTTCAGTGTGGTTAGAGCTATGAATCTTCCAAAACTTCCAAACACCTTGTCCTGGACATAGTTTCTACAGCATAAACTGTGCAACAGTACAGTATGCCCACACAAACTGCAGAACACCGGGGCTTTGGGAACACTGATTTAATTCCCATTTAACCTGTTAAGGGGCTTTTTTCCCCCGTTTTTTTTCTCACGGAACTGTGTCTCAGGGCTTCTTAAAATGTAATAAACTATTCATGTGTCCTACTCAGAGGAAACGCATCTAACTGATGATATGAACCATGTTTACCGAAACAAAACACAAGTCTCACAAGAAGCGTCTAAATGAGCCCTGAGCGAAAAAATGCTAACGCACTCTAGGTATAAATCAATCGATATATTTATCGGATATGCACAAACAAGCTTACAAGCTGAGATTCCACAAATTCTAGAAATATAAGTATCATCACTGAGCGATCAGAACTCGCGACAGGGGAAGCAAATACAGACATCACACAACGTAGCTTTAGGTAGCAAAACATGGAGATATGCTCACCTTTTGCAGAATAACAATTCTGATCAAAAACGAGAAAAACGCAGCTCAAGGTTAATCCATAGGTTAATCCAATGTGTCTGTCACTTTGAAAAATGATTGATGATCCATAATTCCATTTTTATGTCAAAAACGGAGTTTTCATTAGCTGCTAATGGTAGCTTCCAGAGTGTATGACAGCTTCCTGTTTTGTCTCCTTGGATACGAGTCCAAACAACTCACAGACTGCACCGGGCGCTCACGTAGGAGCCCTGTGACTATCAGATTTGACGACGCTGATTGGCTGAAATTATGTTTCGGCGGCATAGTTTAAAGATAGCAACAGTTGTCTTCTGCTGCACTTGCTGCACTCTCATCTGGGCGCTGTGCATAGCGCCCAGGCGAGAGGGAGTAATGATACACGGGCAAGGCCAGGCAGGAAACATGTGACTTATCAGTAACTTTAGACATCGTAACACAATTTTAAACGAGATTTTATTGTAGATTATACATTTTACTGATACCAATTATATCATATTTACCTTGTTTATTAAAAATAAAAAATAAATATATATTTTTTTTTATTTTTTTTATTTTTAATGTGGGAAGAGGGGGGGCGGCGCCCCTAGCGCCACTATGGGCCGGCCGCCACTGACTCTCTTGTGACTTTTTTAAAGGATATATTGTATGTAAAATGTTTAAGTGATACCTTTTTAACTTTATCATTGTGAAACAATTTATTTCCAACCAGCCAAATTTCTTTCCAATTAATTTCTGCATAAAGTGAAGCCCAGAAGAAACTCCCTGAGGCTTGGCTTGCAAGTTCACATTTGCCAACGGCGCTGTCATCAAAATGCGCCAGACTATTAAATTCAATTCAATTCAACAACTTTATTAATCCCGCAAGGGGCAATTGGTTATGAGCAGCAGTTTATGTCATGTACACAGGCAGGAACATACAAGAAGAAAACACACACAGATACACCCGGGAGCACAGATGTGGATAATTCCAATTTACACTATAAATAGTTCATAGCATAACAATAATAAATAAATAAATAAATAATCAAGTTAAAAGCCTTTCAAGAATTAAAAAGTTTGAGTGCAGAAGGGATGAATGATTTTGAAAAGCGATTAGTCCTTTGATCAGGTAGAGCATATCTACGCCCTGATGGCAACAGACGAAATTCATGTGAAAGTACATGACCTGGAGAGTTCAGAATGCTGTAGGTTACAGAAGGAATTTAAGGCGCCGTTTACACGAGGAGAAAACTGCTTGTATCTGCATAGTTTCGCGTGCGTATAGCCCTATTATTTACACGAGGCCGATAGAAACTGACCCCACAAACGATAACGGGTCCCAAGGTGGATAGATTTGCAAACAAAACGCTCTGGGGGGTCAACCGAGTCCGTGTAATCACCTCTATACGAATATTTCCTGAAAAAATAGCGATAGCCCCACCTCTCCCCACCTCTCCTGCTCACTGCTGTAGCAACTATCAAAAATAGCTGTGTTAATTAAACGCACAAGGGGTTCTTGAATGAAATAATATTATAAAATGCAAACCAGAATTGTTAACGCCCAATATACTCCTTAAACAAAATAAACAGAGTCAGATTTCATGCATTGATCCATTATATTGACAAAGGAGGATCTCACCCGGTGTTTGTAGAGAATATCTCTCTTTCTGAGCGTGTCCTCTCCACAGAGACGTGCTTCTTGGTCGGTCGATGCAATATCCACAGATTCGGTTTCTTTCAGTTAACTTCCCGTTGCATTTATCCATATGCTGAGGAAATTACTATATCCCGCTGAATACCAGCAATCGCCACACACACTTCCTCCTGTCAGTAGCTACTGCTAGTGCTACTGCTACTGACCATGCTACAGATATTAGTGCAAAATCTACAGCTCCTCTACCACAACCATCAGCAACAAGTGGACATGGAGAATTACATGAACTACATGTTGCTAAATACACCGCGGGGCTTAAACAGAAGGGTAGCCATGGCAACATTGCTGCGGGGCTGCTCGGGCTGCTCTTCTTCGCTGCTTTTGGTGTATTTTGGCGGAAGTTACAGCGCCACTTACAGTCCCGGCATATGTACTACAGCGTTTCCAGCGGCCTCGTTTGAACAGACACGTTAAATGAAACGAATGCATGTGAACGGAAGACTTTTTTGAATACGCATACTGTGCATAAACGCAAACGTTCCCGTGTGAGTGGGGCCTAAGTCTCTCTGTTTCACGCCGATGATCTTGGAGCAGGTTTTAACAATGCTGTTCAGGCTGTTCCTGTCTTTCAGTGTAAGGCTATGGAACCAGCAGGTAAAAGAAAAACAAATAAGGCTCTCAATGAATGCTTGGTAAAAACGACAAAGAATGAAAGGCCTGACAGAGAAAGAGTTCAGTTTGCGAAGAAGGTGCATTCTCTGTTGACCCCGCTTCACAATACACTCAGTATTCACATCAAATTTGAATACTGAGTGTATTGTGAAGCGGGGTCAACAGAGAATGTAGCTTACAGGCTAGTTTTAAAACATTGACATGAGGGTCCTTTAGACTTTTAAGTAAATTCAAAGTTACAATACTGATACTTGAGTGTTATCTGAGATTTTGTGAAAATAGCTTATACATTTACTCCTGTGTCTACAAGCTAAATATGGTGTGTAGATAATTAGTGTCAATGCTGTGCAACAGCATTCCACTATTGTTGTTCTGTTTCTTTAATCTTCTTATTTCACCCCCATTTTATGCCGTCAAATAACTTCAGCCTACTTTCAGCTACAGAAACTATTCAAATATCTAAATATTCAGCCTTTTCAGCACATGATGGGAAACTTAAAAACATTTCAAAACTTTTTCAACTTTTTAAATATTCAGCTTTTTAAACTCTTTTTTTAACATGTAACTCAATGGGAGAACCCTTCAGATCCTCTTTTACCTACACCTTGAGAAAAATGCTACTCCTTCCACATACTTTCAGCTAGAGACTTCCTTCCAACTTTACAATGGTCACAAGACCTTCAGCTATTACATTAGTATTCAGCTTTTTTATATCTTTTTGCAGTTTTTTACTTCTCAACGTTTAGGTACATTTTCAGGCCGTTTTCGATGTTATACCGGGTGTCTATTGGACAGACTCTTCAGGGCTAGAGTGCGTGACATCATCAGTGAGTGTAGAGGTGTAGAGGCTCCTTAAAATCTTCAGAAAAAAGATTTAAAAACTGCTCTAAAACCCAAAATATACACTCTATTCAAATAATTTCAAAAGATTTCAGTATCAAAATAAGTCAAGACTGCTCGATTGCCTTCATCATATCAAACGGACCCACCAACGGGGCCCAATAGTGATCTGAGTGACAAAAAGTCCACCAAGCTCCCATGTACACTTTGAACAAACTGCTGCCATCTCCACGTTTTACACATCAAATACAAAAAAAGCACACAGATGCGTTCATCAGGGCTCCACTTCTAAAGAGCAATAATTGCAGCTTATCTATACTTTAATAAAGTAACATTAAAGATCAAGTGTTTAGATGTATTGGCATCTATAGGGAATGGCAAGTGCCGTGCATTCTGGGGAGTCTGGCCATCTGTGGAGGATTAGCAACAGCAGCAGCCATCAATATCAGCATTTCCGGGTCATCTGTCAGCTGTTTTGCATCCGAAATGAATAAAGTATGTGTGATATATAAATGCCCTTACAAAGAGAGGCTCTGAACAGAAACATGTATATGTACATGTTCCGCGATATTTCCTATTATAAATCCTATTCCCAGTGTAGTGGTTTGTGTTACAGTAGTTCAGCAGACGGCTGACATCAACACATTCAGTGTCTCTTGCTCTTGCTACGTATCCCTCTTGTCCCTGTTAGTTTAAAAGAATAAAAGGACATTTCTGTTTATGCTAAACTATGATTACCAGCTTCTGGTTTGAGCCACATATTGTCCATGAGAGCAATATCATTGTATTATGATCAGAAAGTAAATGGTTAGCTGAGCCAAGTAGGTTGTGGCTCAGTGTGCGTTGATCTTCGGATCAGGGGATCTGGTTCAAATCCCGCTGCTGTCAGCATACCGCTTTGTCCTTGGGCAAGGCACTTCACCCTAAGTTGCTCCTGTGGGGATTGCCCAGTATGTACAGTATGTAAGTCGCTTTGGGTAAAAGCATCTAACAAGTGACATGTAACGTAAACAAATACATTTCCTAAAATGCCTAATTATTTACTAAATTGTGATGATATTTTGTCAGATGGTGGATATAATGTCAATTTAATGTTTAATGTTTAATGTTAATGACCCTTCTGCACTTTTAAAGTAATGCAACAATAATATTCATTCATCATTCAATAGTCATTGTTCTTGAATGAAATGTATGGTTGTTCCATTTTTATTGTTTTCCATAACAACTCTATATTTCATATTTAAACTCATGATTGTACTCTGTGGATTGTGTTTTTTGATGACAGGATTGGATGCAGATTCCCCCATTGCCTGGACTCTGTCCGCAATGCAGCGAAGCTGACTGAGCATGGTCTGGAGATCCTGAGCCGGAGCGAGCTGTGCACCCTGCTGCTGCAGAACGACACCTGGCTCCTGCCTCAGGTACAGAAGATTCATCCAGAGACGTTTCTCAGATCAGATGGTTTTTGATTCAGAATGTTGGCCCAGCCAGGTGTGGAAAAGAAAAGGTTATTTGTAGCACTGATCAACAGGTCCCAAGATATAGTGCCAACATTGAAACTGTCCCTAACTTTAGTCTGTCTGCACCCTCGCAAAGGTGCATGAGTCGAATCATCCATTTAAAAAAAAAGAATCTGTCAGTATACACTTCTTTATATTTCTTATCAAGCAGAGGGAGTGTTCGCTAAAATAATTCACATTGTAAGCTATATTTGAAGGACATCCCTCCACTGGGTCTGTGTTAGTCACAACAGATGCCCAGTCCCTCCCAACAGGGGGGAGGGCGCAGCGAGCAATAAGTCCACAGTCCCAGGAAGTGACAAAGTCCAGATAAAGGCTGTTATAACCCCCCTCACCCGGCCCTTCCAAGCCCATCTTCCACCGCTACATTAGGAAATGCAATGGCCAGGGACAACCAGCATCGACTGACCACTGAGCAGAAAAAAGAAAATAACAAATTGTAATTTCTTCGTAATGAAAGGCCAAATCTGATTTGAATAAAAAGGACAGAATCAGGTTCAACCCTTACATCAAGCTAATTCTGTATCAGCTTTCTATAGACTTACATTTGATCCTTAATATTAAAATAATTAAATGTATTGTTGTAGCTTACAACATTTTTCCTTGATTTTTTTCTTTGCATGATTGTAACAACCTTTCCTCTTTACACCAGATATGTTATAATTACAACAATGGTGGTGGGCGGATGGGCCTGTGTCAAGAGGGCGATAATTGCAGAAGATTGCACATCTGTGAGAAGTACCTGAACAGCGTCTGCAGCTGCATCAAGAACCATGATTTTACCGCTCCACAGCCACAAAAGAGCCTGTCTTACAGAGGCGTGCCGGACCAACTCTTTCCCTCGTTGAGGTTTGTCTATGCCAACATAATGGCTCTGAAGTACGCCGACAGACAGGGCGAACCTGATGCCAGCGGCGCCGATGGTCTGATTCCACAGAGAGATTGGCAAAGAGGGAGAGGGAGAGGGAGAGCTGGTTTCCGGGGCAACCCAGGCAACCGAGGCAACATGGGCAACCGAGGCAACAGGGGCTTCAGGGGGAACAGAGGCAACCTGGGCAACAGAGGAAATCAAGGCAACCAGTCGACCCGTTCCACTGATGACATATTTGCTGACCCTGAAACCTTTAATCTGTACACCGAAGATGGCCTGAGCGAAGATCAGAGACCTACCTCCCCGTACAGCGACGTCTCTGCTGCTGCCAACGACACCAATGCCAGCAGCGACGATGGAAAGAGCAGAAATCCCAATCTGAATAAAACCTCAGCGTCTGTCCGAGGGAGAGGTGGAGACAGGGGCAACCATCAACCGCTGAACAGGAGCCGGGCTACTGCTGACCCTGAGTCTGTCAGCGACGACGCAAACAGTGAGGATGGAGCCAAAAGAAGACTGACTCCTGTCAGAGGTAAACTACGCCCGCTTTCATTGAGTGTTTTTGAAAGAGCTGTCTGAAATGGAACGGCTTTATAACCCACCTCTGTCTGTTTCCTTTAGATAAAACTGAGATATGCATGTTCTTCATCAAAGGACACTGTAAACATGAGGGTGAGTAATCATTGATACATCATAGAGCATTATCAGAAACAGTAATCATTATACTGATTATTACGAAAATGTCAGAAATGGACTCAGTATCCTCAATTACCCACAAGACCACATTTTTTAACTATTACTTGCATAGGCTATAATGTTAATTCATGCTAATTATTGCAACCTATACTAATTTCGCAAATTGCCCAACATATGCAGGTTAGCATTCAGCCGTTTCTATGTGCTGGAGACCAGTACTATACATTTCTAACATAAAACTCTGGGGTACTCAACATTTCCAAATTCACAATAGGACTGGCAACGAGACTAACTCTGTAACATGACTACATATTCTGACAGTGTTTTGTCAGCTATTTGAAATAAATATGAGCAAATCCTTTTGTTGTACTGAAGCAGAAATTGTGATTATATTTGTTTTTATTTCTTTATATTGCACTGACTAAAGTAAGGCTATTATTTATATGTTAAATAATAATAAGTACAGTTATGGTTACAGAATAATTACTCTATCGTGATATATACTGGGTGTTTCTCAATCTCGAGTAAAGCTGCTCCAAAGCCACTATTTCAAGCATACTACGTCATCGAATGCCGCCGAAGTACTGTTCCAATGTCCAGCATACTTGGAATTCTACCGAGCCCGGCGTACTTCGTTTGGAGAAATGTCGAGGCTGCACATGTATAGACTCCGCGGTCTTAAAATCCCCACAATGCTTTGCGCACGGACCAATTTCCCCAAATCTGTGGTGGAAAATGTAAGGCGGGGCCTCTCGTATGACGCACACCTGCACACTTGCTCGCCTGTTCCACTCTTCGTTTTCCGAATGCCAGGAAGTATTCTTGCCTCGCTTCTAAAGCAAGACGCTCGGAAGACATGTGCTACCAAGCAAGCGTACTCGAGATTGAGAAACACCCAGTGTTACCATGATACGAAAAAATCAAAGAGTTAAAAATAATTTGGGCCATATTGCCCACCTCTTGACCATGTCTTCTCAGACGAGCTATGTTATAAAGCCCACGACAAGATGCCGTACAGATGGCAGGTGCTGCTGGATGATCAGTGGACTGCCCTGCCTGATAATGAGACCATTGAGAAGGACTACTGTGACCCAAAGAACACGTACAGGTACTCTCCACTGACATCAATGGTTTCTGTAGTTTTAGGAGATGTTATTCCGTGGTGTAAATGAATGATATCGTAGAAATTAAATGATTATTTTTGCTGTTCCCAGTAGCAGCAGCCTGCCTGTGCACTTTGACACGATGACCCAAGGAGCGAACAAAGTACGCCGACTCTCCACCTCAAACTCTCTGGTGGATGTCAGCTTCCTCCACACCACCGAGTGGGTTTGGTACTGGGAGGATGAGCGTGCAGCCTGGAACATGTACGCTTCACATGTGAGTAACTGGAGTCCTTTTTAGTGTGATTTAGAGGTTATAATCTAGACATACGTTTATGACAGGAATTTAAATACTGTGACATCAGAACACATTGCACCTGTCGATTGACGTGAATTGATGAGCTTTACATTTCTTATTTCTGTTAAAGCTCCTCTTATCAATGTTTATAGAAATTCTGCCTTTCTTTTTGTTATTCCATATGGAAAATATTCTGCAATACGGATCTTCAGTCTCCCCAGCCCTACATTAGATAGCAGCTAATCGAGGTGTAAATGATGTGATCATTACATGTGGCAGATCAAAGGTTGAAGTCATAACTCTGCCATAAGAACCCTGTGAACATAGGAACAGTTCCTCATAGATAACAGTGAGTTAGCAAACAGTGGAAGCCAATGGTTAACTGAGGATATGCATACTGACAACATGCCTCTGAAAGCTAAGCTAGTAAAGCTGGTATGGGCAAAAAATAGCCACTTTACCTCTATTTCAGTGACATTTTGCAAGCGTACAACGACCCTTTCCAAGGTTTGCTATTAAGTGGAATTCATAATGTTAGCCTTCTTAATATTGTACTTCCCACTCATGAGCCTCGTCTCAATACCCCTCCTCGACTCCTCCTTTCCCTCACTCGCGTCCCTTCCTTGCGTCTTAGCTCCGCCTCCGTAAGATGCGAGCGAGAGACACGAGGAGGTGACGCGAGGACAGAGGAGTCCTCAGGTATTAATTGGGATGTCCTCGTTCACTCAAACGTCACTCTTAAACGACGTCTGTTAATGATGACATGTGCACAGCTGTATCCCCTCTCATCGGGCTTAACTGAATAACCCCTTAGAACCGGCCCATTTGTTGTTAAATATGTATTTAAATGAATGAATCTTTCTCTTGTTAGTCAAGGAATTCAATGTATGATGGTTGGTCCTGCTTTTGTGTTCCGTTTTGGTGTAAAATGTACATTTCAATAAAATTATAATTATAATAATGTGAAAGCCTTTACTCTGAACATGTGTGTCCTGTAGATCCCCACATTCACCACAAACCCACATTCAGGACTGTGCATTTTAAATAATTTAACTACTCAATATTTTAACACAAAACAAAACAAATAATTGTTATTTATCAAGATCTAGCCATTTATGAAATAGCTTTCTTAATAGCTATGTTTTAGTGACGTTCAAGATCATTAAACATGACTTAAATTGTTAGTATAACCTTAAGAAATTAATTGCACATAATAATTCCCACGGAGCTGTGAGCACTTAGACATTTATGTGACGCTTTTCCACTCATTCTTCCAGTTCTCCGTTTTCCTCTCTTGAAATCGACCAGCTGTGAAGGTGGGGGCGGGGCTTTTATACGCGAGTAGTGAAAACACTTCCGCGTAGTCTGCTCTCGTGTATCCTCCCTTTCGTCTCCTCCCGCACCCCTCCTCCCTCACCCCTCCTCGACTCCTCCGTGTGCATTTCAGCTATAGAGTGGCGAAGTCCCTCCCCTTCCGGTGGACCTCCATGGGACCTTATTTCGGAAAAATTATGTATTGAAGTCAATGGAGAGAGAAAGATTATCTTTCGATCCCGTTTGAATTGTGCCACGAATTACACATATGATGTTTGTCAATTTAAAAGATAATTTTGCAAGTCAAAAAAAAAAAAATGTGTCGTAAAACTGTGAAGTAACACATTTGTTTGTGTGAAACGCTCAATGAACTACATCTCTGGTCAACAACACACGTCACCAAGATGGCCGTCACTACTGTCTTGTCAACAAAACGATTGACTATCCTCACTATCACCAGAATGAAACACGTCCTGAAGAATGTCATGCAAAGCTGCCTGCCTGCCTTCCTTTGATTCTCTCTGAACTGCCTGGTCGTTTTAATGTTTAATGTCAACCATTTGTGCAGATAGCATGAAGTAGAGAAGATCGCCGATGCTAACGTTAGCGTTAGCATTTCTCCCCCGGGCTTAAATGGTGTATTATAGAATGATCACACCGGTGACAGTACTATTCAAAGGGTTCACGAAATATGACTACTACTCTTACTGTTTAACATTTTGGGTTACTTAATGTTACTTCATGTTAAGGCTAATAAAAATGACAAGGCTGTAATGCTAACTAACGTGCTAGCTACTAGCTAGGTAGCTAACTTGATCAAGCCACTCCTGGTCCTTTCATCAGACGGGAAGCAAAAGAACGAGCAAGACCCATTGCTGGTATAATAACAACCTGGTACTAAGCACACAGGCATCTTGTTAAAGTTATCTTATCTTAGCCAGCGCCATATAGATAGATTATATCTATATTGCGCTGATTTTAGGTATCTGAATGGTGGAGGAAAACAATTGTGACATCACTTACGCGACTCTGGGATTTGTAGTCTTTCTAGTTACGTATTTTTCATAGTCTTATATTTCAACAGTTTTACGACAAACTGTGACTTTTTTGACATGGAAATTATTTTTTAAGATTGACAAACATCATATGTGTAATTCATGGCACAATTCAAACGGGATCGAAAGATACGTTTTCTCTCCCCATTGACTTCAATGCATAATTTTTCCGAAATAAGGTCCCATTACCCGGAAGTAGGTGGGCGTGACTTCGCCACTCTATTGGGACGTCCTTCAACATGGCGTGTCTTGATCGATTTCCGGGTCAAGTCCCGGAGGAGGGGAAGAGAGGAGTCGAGGAGGGGTATTGAGACGAGCCTATGGTCTCGTCATGTGTTAACTACCTTCTTTGTCCTGTTTTTGGTTTATAGAAGACGTTCCTTCTTTCTCTTGAATAGCTTAGCTTGAAATGCTACCCTTCACATTAATTAGATTGTAATCTCTTGTTTTATGGCTCCACGTGCAGCATCTCTGAGGAAAGAGGTTAGCATAGCATAGATTTGAGCAGAATGGCATACATTTGACTTTATTTTAGAGTGGTGAATAGAGAAATAAAGGTTTAAAAGTGTTAACAGGAAAATATGCATATGTGCGTTCTTGCAGAGAGTTGGATTGAAACATTGATACTACTCAATTATGTCTTTACGCAAATATGTTAGCTTAGCTCAGGGATGGGCAAATGGCGGCCCGGGGGCCGCATGCGTCCACTAGACTCCTAGTTACGTCGTGAGCTGCGTACATTATTTTGTTCGGCAGCCAAATACCGTGAAATAATCTGTGACGCTTTTGTGTGTATTGTGTTTGTTTCCCGGGGAAACACTCACAAGAAACACCGGCTGTTGTTATGCCTGCTGTGACGTTAAGTTACCACTTGTAATTACAAGCTTCAAAGTTGTATTTGTCATCTGAATTTGGCGAAACAAGTTTAATATTCTAAAAACCAAAACTATGTTTATTTGAAATCAGATGAAAACAAACTGTCACGGACCCTGCCGTGTTATCTATGGTTACTATACGCTTTTCATTCATCATTTCAGCGAGAGGGAGGGGGATCGGCGCTGAGGAACAGCAGAGTGCGGGTTGACAGGTGTCTGTGTTGACATTCCCCTTATTGTGGAATAAGGGGAATGCAGATTCCACCGGGTCCGGCTGCGGCGCGTTACGGGCGCGTTATGCTGCGTTCACACCGGACGCGATGCGACTATTCGCTTCGCTCTAATCGCTCCTATCGCATCGCTCTAAACGCTGGAGGTTCACCGCGGCTGCCAGCTGTGTTTACTCGCATCATTCAAACAAGACGCGCTGGCTCGGGAGCTACAACTACAACAAATGAACATATTTTACGGTGATTAAATTGTAATACACGTTTCTAAATGATGCCGAAGTAACAACATACTGATACCGGTTAGTAACAACCATGAATTAATGCTTTGACAAGTCTGCAGACAAGACGGCAGGCAAAACACCTTTTAAAATGCTTGTTTTCTGAATGAAGATCGGGTCAACCAGGCTAAGCTAACGTTGTATATGCTCATTCCACACTCATAACAACGGCCTACAGACATAAATAAGCAGCGACTGTATTCACCATGACACAGACAGTCTGTGGTTTGTACTTGTTTAACTTTTGTCCAGTTTCTGAACGGATATGAGGAGCTGTGAGCTCTGTGTGCTAACTGCTAACAGCTAACGGCTGATGTTGTGTGGTTGAACGTCAGTGACGGCGGCTGAGATCCTCACCGCTGATTGGCTTCCGCGAGAACGCGTCATGTGAATTTGACGCTCGAGTTGAAAAAATTGAACTCTCGCGTTTAACGCGGCACCGTTCAATCGCCTCAATCGTGTGATTCGCGCCGCGTCCACCGCTTCATGCGCGCCGTCGGAGCGAATTCGCGTCTGTCCACGTCTCTGCATTGACTTTACATGTAATCGCGCCGCCCCCAAACGTCGCATCGCGTCCGGTGTGAACACAGCATTACGGCTGCGCCGCGGTGCTCACGGCGATCGCGGCCACTCTAGTCAATGGGTGCTATTCATAGACTGTATATATAAATTGACTTAGGGTCCGTGACGTCACCCATAGGATTCTGCAGAGTTGCCGAGAAGCCCTTAGTAGGCGGAGTCGGCCACTAACGGCTCAACAGTGGCGTCAGAGTTCCACTCCCGCCTGCTCCAAATAAGGGCAAAGAGAAGCGGAGCCGAGGCGGGACCTGCTGCCTCCGAGCTGGAAGTAACAGAGCTAGCTCAAGCTACCAAGCTAAGCTAACATGCTCCCCATCTGCACACTACCGTCGCATTGTACGTTTCTAAGGTAAGCGGACATGAGACTATTCAGCAAAACTATAAATAATAATCTAAGTTGAGTTTTTAGCATAATACTTCAGAATCTTAAAATCCCTTAACGTTTGTATGCAATGTGCTAAATGCAACACTGGAATCAAGCAAATATTAATATGTTTGCATGACATTAGTTATTTATATTTTGCCATCACTTAATTATACGTTTAATACTTTTAAGTTAAGCTAAGGTGCATGTGATGATAGCTAGTTAGTGCTCTTACCTGTGAGGCCTCCTCCAAACAGCATTATAACCAGACTGTATCATTAAAA